AGACTCAAAATCGTTAGAAGACGACTTAGATAGGCTTTACAAATTAACAAATGATTGGCAGATGTAGTTTAATGCTGACAAATGTAGGGTTCAGACCTACATGATAACATTTGTAATGTTAACAAAAGTAATGATAACATTTACCAGATATCGTCTGGACAATGTTCAAATTGTTGAATTGAACACGAGTTATGATTGGTTGGACACCCAAGCCTAAGAAATATGTATAAATGTACAAAACATGACACATTGAACAATGGCACTAATATCTAGAAGGTTTAGCAACACTTCATCTAGAGAATCTTATTACAATGCCGTAGAGCTTGAATGAAGGTAAAGAAATGACCCAATACAAGTGTTAGTGAATTAAAACCTAATTTTCGGATGAAATCTACATTCTTTATCAAGGGAAAATGTGTTTACAGCACCTTGATAAAGGACGTAGGTTTCACCAGAAAATTTGGCATTAATACTCTTGCACATATATTGAGTCTTTCCTTCACGTGAACAAATCCACAAGGGCTGTGACGAGGATTCGAACCTACGTCCGAGAGCATCCCAGACGCTGCCTTAATCGACTGAGCTACGACATGGTAAAAAGAATTGCAACCAGAAATTGAACCCATCCCTGCCCTTGTGTGGCAGTGCACAATAGAAAGTTGTTTTCACATATCCATACATTAAAACATTGATTGTAACCATGATATATATGTGCTTCAGCCTACAGTTTAGACCTATTGTCTTATGTATGACCCTCTGTCCTGCGTGACAGTGAATACCAGCATTATCCTCACTTTAATAAGACTTTATCAAAATCCCCAGATTAGGCAAAATTGTAATTAATTTTGTCAATAAAGATGTTAATAATAATAAACCAGAAATTCTACTGAATTTACTTGGATCCTGCAGCCTCTCCGAGACACAAACCAAAATTTTACACAATTCCCCCATGCACTCGACCTATGTCAATAGGCCTTCTTCTTCCTCTACAGTTCTGCCTCTTTCCTTCACCTTCAAGATATCTAATATTATTCTGCATTTATATCATTTCTCTGTTAGGCCCCATTTAGACGATGCAGTTCAGGATACACATAAATTCATTTGAAAGTAAAACTTAATTTATAATAATTAATATAATAATACTAAGGTGTTAAATATAATACAAAACAGAGCACGAAACAGTGGATGCAAATTGGACGAGTTTAGATTCAGAAAAGACCTGGGTAAATACTAGTTCGGAAGAGAGATTACCAAGTAACATATTAGACGTGGGATCGTTGGGTTGTTTCAAGCATAGGTAAGACATATATGTATGAATTTTGGCTTGGTCTAAATAACAGCAGCCTCGCATGGAGTTTCCTTTATTCTAATGTTCTTATGATGGATGAGAGGCGGGACCAAGGTATTGAAGCTCAATCTACACAAGTATAATTAGGTGAGTTAAGAATGCATGACACATTCCGTATCATATATATATACATATATATATATATATATATATATATATATATATATATATATATATATATATATATATATATATATATATATATATACTGAGTGTGTGTGTGTGTGCACGCGCGCGTGCGTGCGTGCGTGTTTATTTAGCACAGTTGCCTAATTTCTCTAGTAACGAGTCTTTCGATAATTTATTCTTATGCGTTGATAGACACATTCAATGTAACACTGATGATGCCCATTTTGCATATCTTGACAAAAAAAATTATTTTGCAACCTAGCCTAACCTTAATGGACGACCCCCCCCCCCCCCCTGGCGGTATCTTACTTAATTTACAGTATTGTTGTGGATCACCTGTTGGCAATAATACCAAACAACATTCAGTCCAGTTTCCCGAGAATTTCTAATGCTCTTGACCTTTATAGACCGCGAGGTATATCACGTTTTAAAACTCAAGGCATTTAATGCGGATTATACATAGTAATAAGTACGAGAATAGCCCTTATGTCTGCGGGACGCCTCATAGGCACATGATGGCAAAATGTGCTGAGAACCACTTTTAAATTAGTCAGCTGATGTTGTGATCCTATTTTAATATATATATATATACTCATATTTACACGGAGTAAATGTGACCACTATGACGGGTTGTTAATTCTCTGTGGAGGAGTGATAGTTACCACTAGACCATCTCCAGTGGTTGATAACAGCCTCGTTAAGAGATATCAACTCTCTCACTCGAAGTCATGGAAGAGACTGACACCAATTTCGTCAATCGTAAAAAAAATAAAAACAGGATTAAAAAAACATCTCACAAATATTCGTTTACATCCAAAAGGACGTATGTTAAACTGACATGTTTTAACCCCCAAAAAATTATCCAGTAAGCATAATGATAATTAAAATAATATATAATTGTTATACCAATAATCAACTCAGGTGAGTGAAGGTGGACAGGTGGCGGCTTGTGTTCAACACGCATTATTATTTAATCCCAAACGAATTTTAATACAGAAAATATGTATTAACATAGGTAAAACAACATTTATGATGCCACCTAAAATTACATGAAGAGCTAAGCACCACATTTGGCAAGATGGCTAGTCGTGCAAGGGCATGCAAGGGGTTGGTCAGCACTAGGAAAACTATGCGTGCATTGTGAGGATATCTTCAAGAACACAAGGGGTAGATAAAGTGATTCTTAGGTTCCAGATACTTCATACCAGCTAAGGAAATGTATATGTTTATCTCTCAGAATGTTTGGTAATATGTTTATTGTTTGTGATGTGTGTCTATGTATGTATTAACACGATGTACTGAACGGGGTGAGAATAGCTTGAGCTACCTCATCCCTTTGTGTATTTTACCTCAATAAACTTATTTCAATTTCAATTTCATACCAGCAGGTGTAAATGATCTAGTGGCTGGGATAAGATTTTGGGACACCGCTGTTAAGTTTAACATGTAGTAGATTATTTTCTCTTAAAAGTGGTTTCAGAAGGGGTTATACTCTCCTATATTAACAGAAAGCTCAGTCTTATGATATGGTATATCACTGGCAAGGAAATGGAGCATATCATTCTTATTGAGGTTCCAGTTCCAGTTCAAGTATGTTTATTGTGACAAGAAAATACATCCCAAAGGGAAAGAGTAGCTTAGGCTATTTCTACCTCCCAATTTATCGAGGTTCCACGAGCCAGGGACGAGGCTAATCCTCACAGTTACCCAACCACTTCTTCACCAGACCCAAAGGTGCTCAACCTAACTGACCAAGCCACGCGCTCATCATCCACTGTCAAGTAGCTACACTGCGCAAATTTCAATAAGATATTACAACTTTGTTTATCATGCATAAATGGATGATGATTAAGTGTATGATGACTTGTAGGTTAAGTGAATATGAGGACGCATTCTCAAGACAGTGAACAAAAATTTCGAAATGTATTAGACAATCAAGAAAAATATATTACCCGTAACAATAATAATAATAATACAGAATGATAACATTCCTTGGAATTTGATCTACGGGAGAAGACTGATGACAAATTTGTAATACCATTCTCGACATCATTCCATCTCTGCCCACGTAACAATCTGACCATTCATTAATTCCGTCTAGTAAAAAAAAAAAACTAAAAAAATATATATTTTAAAGGTCAATGGAATTTAATTTCCTCTTGCTCTACCACTGAGTGTCTTCAAGGGCAAGACGCCCTCTGTTCCTCTTGCCCACGTTACTTTCAAGGGTAAGTCGTCCCTTATTCCTCCTTTTCCCTGTTATTTCAAGGGCAAGAGGGTCCTTCCCCCCCCCCCCCCACCGTGACTTAAAAGAGCATTACAAAGCCTTTCTTGCTGACGCTACTTCAAGAGCAAGACCACCTCTGTTCCTCTTGTCCACGTTAAATGGCAAGATAAGGTCTTACCCCCTCTTCAGCACGGTACTTTCCCCTTGTTCCTTGCCCCTTATTGAGGCAAGACCATTAACAGTACCTCGTCCCCCTATCTTATTTGGTTATTAATCTACCTTGTTTACGTTTTAATACACGTTGTTTGCCAAATTTTCTTATGTACGTTGTTTGCTTCTTAATCAACGTTCTTTGACTAGTTAAGAGTCTTTGACTAGTTAAGAGTCTTCACACCCACACACTAGTCTTTGACTAGTGTGTGTGTGTGTGTGTCCCATATTAAACAACGTTGTTTCCTTGATTTTCAACGTTATTTGCCTGGTTATCAATTCTGTTGTTAGTTGGTTATAAACTTTATTAGCGTGGATATTATCTTCCATATAATTCATCCGTAGCAAGTGTTGATCACATCCAGGAGACTCCGTCCTCACACTGAATACAACAGCAGTTCCTAAGTGCTATGGTGATCCACCTAATGTGTACACAATGATGCCCACAACAAGACAAATATTATATAAGGATATGTAATTCGAGACTAAGCCACACTTCACCTACGCAACATCCACACACACCAGGTACACACACACACACACCACCTACACACACCAGGTACACACACACACCAGGTACACACACACACACACCACCTACACACACCAGGTACACACACACACACCACCTACACACACCAGGTACACACACACACCAGGTACACAAACACACACCAGGTACACACACACACACCACCTACATACACCAGGTACACACAGACAAAATAAAGAGGAACACACACACACACACACCTACACACACACACCAGGTACACACACACACACCTACACACACACACCAGGTACACAAGCACCACCTACACACACACACACACCAGGCACACACACACAATAAAGAGGAACACACACACACCACTCCCCATCCCAGCACCAATCATCACCCACATCAGGGTAATATCCCTTTAATCAGTCGTCCCGCAAGAAGCTCACCTCGCATCACCTTTACATAAAAACAAACATAAACATACACTGAGATATGCCAATATTTGCATATCTAACCTCCGGTGTTCTGCGGTTTAAAAAAACCCACAGGAGCATCTTGAGCTTGAGTGTAGAGATACTCACATGTCCCTCCATAGCTGGTGCTAGCAGGCGCGGGGTCCCTGGCAATCCAAAATCATCTTCTTTATCGCCAGGTCGTCCTTAAGGTGGTCGTCAGTCATCCTCAGAGGTGGATATTGGAGGAGAGTCGTTCAGGAGGCGGGCGAGAGGTAGATGGGTGATTCAGGGGCGGTTATTAGTCCAGGACTCACGCGCGTGTGTGTGTGTGCGTGTCCAGAGGGACAGGTGTTGGGATTGAGGGAGGTGGAAGGGTGTGTAGCAGCTGGGTGGGTGTGTGGAGGGCGAGGCGTGAGGTGCACACAGCGGCAGGTCCAGCGCTACACTGCCCGCCTCCTCCTCCCCATCTCCACCATAAACACCACGCTGCCACCGTCACCACATCCACACTCATCTCTCACACTCACCACTTCTACTGAATTATTGCTCCTCGCGTGTCTTGACAAGGGTACCAGTTATCGTCGATATTGTGAGCTGTGTAGTGAAGCTTTTCTACTTTATGTTTTCTTTGGTATATGCATTTGTTTGATCGAGTATTGAGGTTCTGGGCAAGGTTGAGGAGAGTGAGAGTTCTGGCAACTGTGTTCGTAGGCGCGCGCGCTTTCTCTCCATAGCGCGCTGTACTGGCGCATTTCCCTTCTCATTCACCTATACCTCTCTCTCTCTATCCTCTTTAATTTTCCCCACTTTTCATCCAGCTACTTTTCCAGCGCCATCCACGCACGCCGCAAGCACAGGTTGAGATGCTGAGAGTGCACCAGGTGGCCCCGCAGACGCTGCCGGCGAGGAGGAAGGTGGCGCCTCTGGATTGATCAGTACCTACCATGGGCTCGCTGGGGGTGCTGGACCCGTCCTCGCCACCTACAGCAGCGTTCCAGCCTCGTCCTGCCTCTTCTCTCTCTTCATATCTATGTCAATTTGGGGAGGATTGGGCTTCAGCTGCTGGGCCCCGTGTTTTAGATATCGGTTGTCTGGCATAATGATTCCCGGCCCCTGTGTTTTTTCATGCGTGCTTTTGAAGCTGTGAATGGATTTCCGCTCCACTACCTCCACCAGCTAACTTTACTTCCTCATTGCTTGTACTCTGAATACTTGTTTATGGCACTTTTGAATTGCCTTCCAGTTTCCACCTAATGTCCATTATTTCCCCTCCTGTTTTTACCGTTAAGGTTCAGTTTACATAACATATCTTGTCAGTTCTTTAACCTATGTTTCTTCTTGAAAATATGTGGCATCTAATCATATATTTTTTAAGACGACTCCCATGTGTCACCCTGCAAAGTTAGGTGAGGCTAGCCTCAAGCGTCTGGCCTCCAACTTTGAACAATTATTATTTTATTGCGTTATATTGCGTTATATTCGCTCTGCTTGAGCGCCTTCTCCTGATTACTGTATTTTATGCGGCTCTTTATAATCTATATTGTTATTGAGATAATTTATTATTTGGTAACAAGTAAACAAGATATCTGTTTCTTAGATTTTTATAATAGTTTACTGATAATTATTGAAGTGGGGAAGCAAGCGTTATTTCCTCAACTTGTCCTCTTACAAAGAACGTCGCTTTTCGCGCCTATGCGTTACTAAGGCCAAAAAATGTCGTATTAGAAAATGGAAGCGGCTGGCGAAAGTGACGTTTTGTCCCGTTTTCTGTTTTGGGTCCTCTGGTAGGTTAGGAGAGACCACTTGAAATTAACCGTTTTTCTTGGCGTTAGAAAACCTTAGGAGGACTGACTGATCTCGTTGTGCTCCTTGGCTGACGGTACAACACACACACACACACACACACACACACACACACACACACACACACACACACACACACACACACACACACACACACACACACACACACACTCACACACACACACACACACACACACACACACACACACACACACACACACACACACACACACACACCGGATGATAAACAACTTGACCCACCACTGTCCCGTGCTCCACAAATGAATAAATTGACAAATTTGTGGCTATCAACTGTAGTCATGAACACATGCTTGTGTGTGCGGCCCTAACTAACCCCTGACAACCTGTCCTGTGACGAGGGACGAAGAAAACCTGTACGAGGCTCAGTGTACTGATGATCGACTTCAATCGAGGTCAATCAAGATACCCCCATCGTGTCCAGCTTCAGTAATTAGTGAGAGTTCCTTGAGAAACCCAGTAGGAGCCGCGAGAAGGGATTGGCGTGCACGGAAGCACGTGGGTTCAATCCCACGGTAGGACATCAAAGATCCAGCCTGTTTCCCTTCACCTGATGCACCTGTTGGGTTATTATTATGTCTGACATGGGAGCGCTCTCCGGGGAACATGGGAGCGCTCTCCGTGCACGTGTTGCTGAAGTAACATGATCCGTTGTCAGCGGCGTTCCCCAGGGCCGTATCCTGGGTCCTCCTCTCCTTTACCATATACATAAATAATTTAGATACAGGATGATACAGGAATATTTGTAAATTTGCAGACGATACATAAGGGTGGGTGGAAATAATTTCAGAAGAATCAATAATCACATTAATCTTGATTTACATTAATCTTGTGATACAACCACTGAATTGTTCCTTGTGATGCAACCTAAGAATTGTTCCCTAATTGTACATACTGTCCACGGTTCATGGCCACGCTATTAAACCAAATAATAGTTGGACATGTAACCCACGGTTGAAACACCTTCAATGGAGTCGCCACGAACAATACCTCCGAGCTCAGTCCACAGCAGCAAACGACAGGAGTCGTAATGGCTTGTGTATTGTGTAGTGTGTATTGTGTGGCGTGTATTGTGTAGTGTCGTAGTGGTTTAATGTGTGTGTGTGTGTGGTTTACAATGGTCAGGTTGGTGTTACTGTACCTTACACAGGTACAGTAATGGGCTTCGGTTGGGAATATCAGAAAACTTGACTGTAATTATCTATAAATTATGGATATTTATGTAATGAGGACCACTATTTGTTTGTTTTTTTAGCTCGCTCCCTCATACTCATTTGTGAGGGGATTACCTCATTCTCACTCGTGAGGGGGGGGGGGTTACCTCACACTCCCTCACAAGCGGTTGTCTGTGGTGCTCCTCATCACGTGAGTAAGTTATGAGTGAACACAGCCAGTCATGAGGGTCGTACACCTGACTTTCTCCCGGCCAGTCACGTGTCAAGGTTGTGATCTGCCGTCGTGCAACATTGCACATCTTCACTCATAACATTGCACATCTTCACTGAAAACATTGCATATCATGAATACCAAGATTGCACATATTCATTATTGAAATTTCACATCATAGGGGTTGCTATCAATTGGGGGGGGGGGAGCTGGGGGTCACAACCCTCCCCTCTCTGCAATTATTTCCCAAATTCAGGAACCCTTCACATTCCTCCCTCTCTCTCTCTCTGTCTCTGTCTCTCTCTCTCTCTCTCTCTCTCTCTCTCTCTCTCTCTCTCTCGTCATAGTACCATGGCCAGGCTTTTATTGTGTCAGGTACCGACGTATTTCGTTAACTTTAATGAAACTTGTTTTTGTCCTCACAATGTTGCCTCACTTCTTGGTAGTGTTCTGCCGTCTGAACTGTCCCACACGCGGGTACACCTCCCTACACACACACACAGGCGGGTACACCTCCCTACACACTACACACAGGCGGGTACACCTCCCTACACACAGGCGGGTACACCTCCCTACACACTACACACAGGCGGGTACACCTCCCTACACACAGGCGGGTACACCTCCCTACACACTACACACAGGCGGGTACACCTCCCTACACACCACACACAGGCGGGTACACCTCCCTACACACACACACAGGCGGGTACACCTCCCTACACACCACACACACACGCGGCTACACCAACACACACCCACACACACACTACACCAACACAACCACACCCACCACCCTCATACGTGCTTTAAACCATCCAATTCAGGCAAATTGTAACCAGGTGACAGACTGGCCAAGCCCCCACACAACCACACTTAACTGCTGTTTGGTTAAGCTTTAATCACTTGCTGGGGGAGCACAGCAGGAGGGGAGGGCAGCGGAGGGCAGCTGGCAGGGGACGCCAAAGGGGGAGTGGAGCCAAGGTCAACGGAAAAGGGAGGATAGGGGATAGACTTGAGAAAGGGAAAGCTGCAGCGGTTTCGTCAGCGGTTGGGTAAATACTTACTGGTGTAGACGATAGAGCGAGGAAGGATGCTATGGCGGTGTGTCCACTCACAAGATGAGTGGCGCTGCCCAATAAACTCGCCCCTCGGGGCAAAATTTAAAATTTAAAAAATGCCGTGTGAACAAAAAACGAGGTGATGACATGTGGGAAACTGATGGGGTAACTGTGGTAAATCCCAAGAATGGCGTCCTTGGAGCTGGATGTGTGTGTAAAATAGAGAATTCTTTTTTTTTTACCGTCTTGGGATGCTCGCACCGGCCCTAACCGGCTCTGGAGGCTCGCCTGGCCGGCCGGCCGTCCAGCACACCCACACTTTCACCTCTGTGATCTAAATCTACCTTTTTTTTCCAGCGTTTGATCTCCCTAAATGAGAAATTTCTCTCGTACGCGGCTTGACGCTCGCTAGGCTTGTTGGAGAATTTCTCCACTAGGCTTCTGTCTCAAGTTGGCCAGTTATGTGTGTGTGTGTCGTTGTAACTTTGCTTCGTCACGGGACCTCACACGCACACACACACACACACACACACACACACACACACACACACACACACACACACACCACACACACACACACACACATGAGAGGTATGAGCTACGAGGAGGGACAACGGGAATTAAACCTCACTTCGTTAGAAGACAGAAGAGTTAGGGGGAACATGATCACCACATTCAAGATTCTCAAGGGAATCGACAGGGTAGATAAAGACAGGCTATATAACACAAGGGGCACACGCACAAGGGGACACAGGTGGAAACTGAGTGCCCAAATGAGCCACAGAGATATTAGAAAGAACTTTTTAGTGTCAGAGTGGTTGACAAATGGAATGCATTAGGCAGTGATGTGGTGAAGGCTGACTCCATACACAGCTTCAAGTGTAGGTATGATAGAGCCCAATAGGCTCAGGAACCTGTACACCTGTTGATTGATGGTTGAGAGGCGGGACCAAAGAGCCAGAGCTCAACCCCCGCAAGCACAATTAGGTGAGTACACAGTCGGTGTCCCCCCCACTCCCTCTCAGCCCCCCGGCCCCCCCCCCACCCCTCTTTAGTGGAGTTACACTGGCCAGGAACATGTCACTCACTCGTGTTTTCCTTCTTGTTCTTCTTCCCATTATTTAATTTTTAATTTTGCCCCGAGGGGCGAGTTTTTTGGGCAGCGTCACTCATCCTGTG